ATCACCAGGAAATAAAATCAACCAAACTAATAAACTGTCTGACAAACTAAATTTAACCATACGATAGAATCTACTTCTAAAATGCTTACGCCAATTTATGATTGGTTTCATTCATCTGCCTATGTAGTTGAAAAAAATATGTCAGAATAAATCATTTCAAATAAGAAGCTCAGACTAATAACGTACCGCTCCTTGATAAGTTTCAACTAAGGCTCCAGCGCCCCCGATGCAAAATTGTTCCCATTGACATATTCTTGATTACCAGGAAAGAGATATGGTTGGATTAATGGCAGTTTAGCATACTCAGCTGCAATAGAAGTTCTCATGTTGTTGATAGTAGCGAGGAGACAAGTTTATGTATTGAAGTTAAACTGACAAGCATTAAAAATTCACGTAACATCCAAACTTTTAGTTTTAAAGTTTAAGTAACACTGGGATGAAATTTCTCGATAATTGGAATTTATCAGGTAATTAGTTGGGTAAAGATATTTTACTCAAAAAGGATTTAATTTTTAGAAAAATATAAAAAATAATATATGATTAGAGGAGATGAAATAAAAACATTTAAAATAGTGTTTCAATTTAACAAATTATTTAAATATTAAAAATTTGAATTGGAGCAAAATGTATAAATTCAACAGTCTTTTAAATATCTTTCTAGAGTTAAAAAAAGAAAGTAATTAAAACATAAATAAAATATTTATACGATATATATAACAGATAAGGATTAACAAAAGTCAAAGTAATAAAGAAAAAATTAATCATTTACTCTCTATAGCTTTCGCCCAATTGTAACGTGGTTCTTATAATTATAACTCAACTGTAACTCAGTTTTTGAATTTTTTCTCTTATAATTTAATCTCTATAGTTTCAACCATTTAAATATTAATCCCCATATTTTAAAAAATAAAATTATAAAGATTAAAAATATTTTAAACCTTTAATATTTATAAATATAAATATTAAAAATATTTAATAGTTTAAAATATTAGTAATGAATTTTAATCTTTATAATTTTAATACTAATATTATAAATATTAAAATTTAAAAATATTATAATTTTAATATTTAAATATTATAAATATTAAATGTTCAAAATATTTTTAATTTTTATAATTTTATTTTTTAAAATATAGGGACCAAAATTTAAGTGATTGAAAACTATAGGGACTAAATTGCAAGAGACCAAGTTTGGAGATTGAATTACAACCGAGTTAAAATTATAAAGATTGAGTTACATTAAGTTAAAGTTTGAAGATTAAGTTACAATTGAGTTAAAATTACATGAACTAAATGATTGTTTTTTTTAATAAAACTATTCATGGGCTCCAGCCCATTAGTAGTTAGGTTGTGCTTAATTTACCCTCTCATATTATATTGTCTATGTGTGTTGTGCACTCGACCAGGTTTTGATGCTCATCACAGTAATGAGCATCATATTTTGATTTAAATTTTTTAAATTTAAAGTATTATTATATATTTTTATTCAATATCTATTAAAATAAAACTTTATAAAAATTTTGACTATCCAGATGTACTGGACTATGCAAAGTATATTTAAATAGTTAATATATATTAATTATAAAATTTTTAATATTAAATTGGATATTCTAAATTAAATCTAGACCATATTAAAAATAAAAAAAATATTACAATTATATATAATAGGGGCTTTTATAGATATTGTCCATATTATAGAATTAAACTAAGCAAATAGCCTAACATTTATTATATTTTATATTATGGCTGGTTTATTATATTTGTTAATAATCGTTGTATATCAATGATAAATCTCTTATAAATTTTTCAAATTTTAATGATAAAGTCCTTATATATCAATAATAAACCTTTTATATATTAATAATAAACTCCTTGTATAAATATGAACCAACCTTACTCCTAAATTTTTAAAAATTTGATTCATGTTTTTTGTGCACAATATTTTTTAGGCCAATAGGCCAATTTATCCCTATATAATAATACTTTAAATCTAAATTATTCAAATCAAAATCTGGATGGTCCATATCTCATTATTGTGATGAGCATTGAAGCAAGGTTAGTTGTGCGCTATACACAAAGTTCTTTCATGGTGCGATGTCTAGCAGCATAATTCTTAGAGTTTGAGAGAGGCTGATTGGGTGTGAGAGAGAAACAAAGTGTGAGAGCTTCATTTGGGCACTATCTAGTTCCAAAAATCTTGTTCATCTATTTTGAGGCTTTTAAAAATTAGCTAAGTGATCTAAGTCTCCCCTTATTTTCCTTTTTGAAATTTTTAGGATCTAGTAAGGATAGAAATTTAGAGCTAGAAAGATTTTAAATTTATTAAAAGATCTATAAAGATTAGACTAAGAGTCTATATGTATTGATTTTGCCAAATAGTTGATTTTGAGGACTTCATAATAGTTTTTCATGTTCCGAGATACTTATGGTAAATGAATAATGACTTATTTATGATCTAATAGGCCATAAAATTTATCTAGAGTTTAATTTTTTTCTAAATAAACTGAATATGAATATTAAAATTGAATATATATATTTTGGGATAAACTTAAGATATAGACTTTGAGTCTTTTGGAAAAAAAATTGAATATGAGGTTTTTATTAAATTTATAGAGGTGAAAAATGGACAAAAATTTATAGAAATTAATTTAAGTTAAAGAATAAAATAGTTCAAAGATTAAACAAAGAACGTTGGAAAATATTAGGATTAATTTTTGGATAAAGTAAATTATTGAGATTCATTAAATAATTATTTTATCATTATTAATTTTGTATTCTAGCGTTTATGTTGGTGATTTTGTGAATGTTGTGAAACATATAGTTTTATCTTGAAAAAGAGGGAACAATAGTTATTTTTTTGCAATAAAAACTATTGTTTTATATTACTATATATATATACATATATAAACTACTTTGGGAATGTTGTGCCTATTGAGGGCTTGTTTTATTTATTTTTTGATTGAAAATGTATATTTTGAACTGTCTAGAATGCTTATGTGATATTTAAACTTTTATATGATATTTTTTTTTTCCTTTCAAGCATGCTAGTTTTGTTAAATGATGACATGATTTTGAAATTGACTTTTGATGTTGATTTAGTACTTTCAAGTATACCTAGTTGCTTTGGAAACTAGAAATAATATAGTTAAATCTATTCAAGCATGCCTGTATATTTTAAAAATGTTTTGAATGTGATGCACTTGTAGGGAGAATGAGGGAAGATATGATTATGGTGGATGTTACAAACTGTGTTGTTATTTTTACCATATGTTAAGCCATCACTCAAGATCTTGTGGTTAACATTTTTGTCAAAGCCCCTCTCCTAATTTGAGATTGTGGGATAGAGGGAACTTCTTTTAAGGAGGGGGAGTCTAGTTCTGTAAGCAATGTACTTTTGGTTTAGTGTATTCTCAATCTAAACTCCATCCAGTTGTATAAGGTGGACAAGATGGGTTATAAGGATGTGTCAGGGCTTGCATCACTTTTTTTTTTAGAATTTGATGGTTATAATTAAATTGATTACATTGTGAAAATGGTATTCTCATATCTGTGAACCAGATTGTGAAAATATTTGCAAAAGTACCTATATTTGTAAATATATGGTTTTGAAAAATATTCAAAAGGATTTGTTAGTGTGTTTAGAATATTCATATGTTATTGAGACGTTAGATCTCCCTTGTTATCTCATAATTTTTCAAGTGAGGATTGTGGTAGGTCACAAGGAACAGTGGAGGTTTGATCATTGTTTGACTTGGCACATGTCACTTGTGGGTTTTTTATTATTATTATTATTATGATGCCATGACCCTAGGATGACTTGACTTGTGTATTTTAGGGTGGTCATAAATCTAAGTTTTTTGATATCTTTGTATTTATTTAATAAATTTTAAACTAATATAGATAATTGATTAAGATGGACATTATTGGGCTCTTCTTATGATAATAGTTTGGGCGTTGATTGTCATTAGCCCAATGGTTGGTGAAATTTTTGAAATCCCAAATTTATTTAAATGATGGGTTATTTCAATGGGATTCAGTGTTTGGTTAGCATATTCTAATTAATATCTCTCGTTTTTCAAAAAGATAATTGAGGGGGCTACAATTCATGGCAACGAAATCTGGAACAACACGCCGATCAGAGAATCTGCCAGAAGGGTACTTGAAGAAATTTTCCTCATATGGTGGATAATTTGCCTGACCATCAGCTTTAATGTAATTGTTGCTTCCAGCATCAAATAGTGAATCTCCAAATGCAAACAAAGCACTGTGTTGTCTTGGAAGGCATATTTTGGCAAGGCACATATTTGGAACAAGGATGATATTGCTTGCACAGAAAAGTAAGAAATAGAAATGGAATCTCAGGCTTACCATCTTTGGTTCACTTCAGTGTGGCAAGGCACCTATGTTACATAAATGCCTTTTCAGTCTTTTATATTTATAGCGAAAATGATTTATATATTACTTTTTCAAACTTTAAACTTGGCCACCAAGACGTTGATGCGGTAAACTTAGTGATGAATGATGATGCATTTTAGAATAACATATCTGAAAAGTTATATTATTCAGGTTTATTGAAGCATTATCCTTGAACACTTCAGACACATTGACAAAACTTGTTTTTACGATTAATTCTCAAATGTCCCCGAAGGGACATTTTTACAATGAATTCTATCCATAAATATTTGGCAAGGAGTTCATTATTCTTGATTCAAAACTGAGTTCAGAAGCCTATCTTGTTTGCATGTGGAAAGTCAAATTTCATTATCTATTATCCAACTTCAATACAAAACTCAATTGTCCAAACTCATAAATTAAACCTGGAATTCAAACTAATGAATTGAATATACTTATAGTTAATGACAGACAACACATTTCAATTTTCTGGTTTTTAAGTTGTTATTTTGGATTTGAAAATTTTTCTTAGAGCCGATGATTTCAAGCCTTAATTTTGCTACAGCAGTTAAACTTAATTTTCCACGTATTACTTCTCCAAGGCTATATAGCTCTCCAATAATTTTGGTAGATCAAACTTTCAAAATATCCCAACAGAATAGAAGGTACAGGTAAACCATATCAGAAACTTTTGTTAAACCCAAGGTTTCATTGTCTCTTCCCGTCTAACACGTAGAATCAACTGGTAACATAAACAGCATCAATCAAGGTTTTGATAATAAGGAAGTATAGAATTGGGTGCTTAAAGTTCAAATAAGGCTTTGAGATTGTATGGACGACTGCCCTTTCCAAGCCACATTAACTTTGATAGCTTCTGGTTGACCTTTTCCGTGGGATGAGAGTAGTCAAAGAACACATAATCATTAACATTATCGCATAACTTGTAGTCTTCTATTCCTTCAATCTTCAATCCACAGTTTGGAGTTCCTCTGTAGGGACCACTGCCACAGCATGCCACTTTTCCTTCCTTAAAACCTTGTCAGAAAAAATGAAGAAATCTCTGTGGTCAAGAACAAAGATGAATACAAAACTGTAAGGTGCTGTTTACTGCATAGAAAACTTAATTCTTAAATATGACAAAACAAGATTCTCCACAAGATAAGACACTGTCAAACCTTTTTTAATGTATTTTTATTGACATGTGGTGGGAGAGGATCATTATCCCTCATAAGAATAGAAGCAGAAGTAGTGAGAAGGCAAGGACATACCATATTTGAAAGGGTTATTCACTAGTTTTGTTAGAAATGTGAAATAATCAGTGAGTCCATACTTAAACCCTTGGAGCTCATTCTCAAGCTTTACCAGCATCTTGTAAAGTTGTTTGTTGTGTAGTTTTACTATTTTTGTAGCTTCTTCAAAGCAGTCACCTGCAGCTCCACCTTTTAGTACCCTCATGGATGGTGAACAACCCAAAGGGCCCACATTACGAATCCCAAACCTTCTTCCTCCTACGTTATATATGTCCTGTACAGCACATTTAAAAACTAATATTTCATCCCTTGTTCCATCAGTTTAGTCTTGGAAAGATATTGATTATCAGATTAGTACTTCAAACCTTTTGAAAAGCACATTAATTTGATCATCATGAGTTATGTTATCTTCAAGTTAAGAGAGTTGGTTAGGTGACCAACTTTCTCTAGCCTAAAACATTAATGATTGAGATGGATGATTAACTAGGATCTAGACTCTTGTCAAACAAAACATGGTGATTTAATCACCATTTGAATTTCAGAAAAGAAAAATTAGCCATATTTCCCTATGCATTACATGAAGTTTAAAATAAGTTCATGACTTATAAATAATACGACTTGTTATAAATTTTATTATATATTTCAGTGGCAAACCTCAAGATTTGCTTCTACTATTTGTATCAACTAACTTTCTACGTAGAAGAATATCAATTTACAAGGTAAATATGAAGTTAACAGAACTCATGATCAAACTACTGACTGTGCATATTTTTCAAGGACCAAAATGATAGTAAACCCTTCATATCAATCTGAAATTTCTATTACTTACTTTGATAGCAGAAGAGAGGTTGCCAATCACCATGTTCACATAATCTTGGTGCGATTTTGACCAAAGAACAGTTGAATTTGTAATGTAAACTGCATAATCATTAACCCCAGTGCTTATCAAGTGGACAGATCTTGAGATTAATGATTGAGCTGCTTCATCTCCTAGTTCTTTCCTCAGTAGCCTGTGAATCTTCTTGTAATAGCTAACCTGAGTTTTCAGGTCCAATACCTGAAGTATTACACAAATATTACAGTTGAATTACACAAAAATTACAGTTAAACTATCTTAATGATAAGTACTAGGAGATATTAAGGCGTGCTTATTTCCATTCCAATGAAAGAAAGGGAGACCATTTGAAATCTGAAAAAATAAAAAAAGGAACAGCTGATTATGTTTAAAGTCATGTTTTGCAGTTCCAGGCTCATCTGAGATCTTCATAAAATAAATAGATGTCACATACAGATCCTTGACGAGTTTCTGAAAGAGCTCCAGCTCCTGCTGATGCTAAGTTTGCTCCATCTGTATATCTATGGTAACCAGGATGAAGATATGGTTTTATCAAAGGCAATTTTCCATACTCAGCTGCCAAAAGAGAATGAATAGATCAATTAATAGATAAGATGAAATCAAACAAAACATTATAAGTATAGTCGGCTTACCTATAAAGTCTGGAACCAAACGACCATCTGAAAATCTTCCAGATGGGAACTTGAAGAAGGTTTGTCCATAAGGCCAATGATTGGCTCCAAAAGCGGAAAAAGAACTGTTAATGTAGTTACTGTTGCCAGCATCAAACCCAGAATCTCCAAAAACATATAACGCAACATGTTTTGGTCGCAGACAGTTGTCTCCCAGGCTGATTCTGGGGAAGCAGATGGTTACAGAGATGAGTAAGAAGCAAAAGTACTTAAACCTTAGATTTGACATGTTGAATATCCTTCCCTTGTCTTGCTACGAGAGAGAACCTTGCTTGTTTTACGTGTCTGGGCATCTATGGATATGTTGAGTATGCGTATCACTTATTTAAATCGAAAAGTTATTTCCTTTGACTTCAATTAACAGAAATGGAAATGACTGATTTTTCTTTTTGTTAAGGTAAATTAGTTTTATCTAGGTCCCATGCTGATAGTATAGCAACCTCTGGGATAATTTTGGAAAGCATGTCTTCTCTTAAAAAAATCTCTTCTATATAATATAATAATATATAAAAGGAGGGGTTGAAAACTGAAATTCTTAAGCTTCTGCTTTCTCATTAGGCCATGCGGGATTCTGTTCTCCATCCATGAGCTGATACGTGTATATTAATGATATATTATTCTGCATTGCCCACGAGGGATTTTATATATTCTGGAAATATATATATCTATATATATGTTTGTATAGGAGACCTTTGAGGTATAATCCCTTCTCTGCCAGGGAGAACTTGATCTTTGCAGTGTGTGTGACTACCATTCTGAAGCATTAATCCAGCATGTCAATTATATATTTATTAAAGAAACAATTGGGATGTCACATAGATGCCGGTAAATTAAAAACCTTGACATTTTATTTCATCAATTTGCATACACTCCTTTTTCACCACTTTAATTTTCTCTTCTAATCATCATATTAAAAATAAAAACTCCACATTGTAGGATCATAGCTGAAATAGTGATTTCAGATTGTGAGGTCCGGTGATAGTTTGATTTCCATCCCATATGAATTGGGCAATAAGCTCATTAGCCCTTTCAGTAGGATGACCATAGTCAAAGAAGAAATATTCATTGGCATTCTCACACAACTCATAATCTTTCACTTCACTTTTCCCTCCACAACTGGGATATCCCCTGTAAGGCCCACTTCCACAGCATGCCTCACCCCATTCTCTGAAACCTTCACAACAAATTAATCCACAATAAACGTTAGATTAGTGATTATTGGGTAAAAGAGATTCAGATATATGTCCAAAACTACTCAATCTTGAGACCCAGGGAGAGTTAAACACCTACCATATTTTGAAGGGTCACTCATCACTTCAATACCCATATCGTACAAATTGGTAAGTGAATATTTGAATCCTTTAAGCTGTTCCTCCAACTTCTGAAGCTCAACAGAAAGTGCACTGTTATGCAGCTTCACTATTGCTGTAACTTCTTCTCTGCAGAGACCACTTCCATTCACTAGTAACCTAACCACTGGAGTGCAACCCAGAGGTCCTAAGGTAAGAAACCCAAATTTCCTCCCTCCTTGATTGTGAATTTCCTAGAAATCACATATTGCAAATTCAATTAGGAAGATACAACGTCAAACACAGCAAAAGAGAACTATGGAACATTTAGCATTTCTGAAATTTTTTACTCACTTTGACCACAGTTGTCAGATTACCAATGACCATGTTCACAAAATTTTTAGGAGAGTTTGAACCAATGATGCTGGAGTTTTCTATCAAAGAACCAAAGTAATCATTGGGTCCAATGTATATCAAGTAGATAGCTCTTGCCAGCAAGCTTTCAGTTTCTGCATCTTCTAGTTTCTGCCTCAGAACCTTGATCACTCTCTTGAAGTGACCTAGTTGAGATTTTAGGTCTATCGCCTGAAATATAAGCCAATCATACTACTACCTCCTACATATTCACATGTCAATTTATGATTGGTTTGATACAAAATGCTCAAGCTATAACATACCAGTCCCTGTTGAGTTTCAACTAAAGCTCCAGATCCGCCTGATGCAAAATTGACCCCATAGGTATATTCTTGATTACCAGGAAACAGGTATGGTTGGATTAATGGCAATTTAGCATACTCAGCTGCAATAGAAGTGCTAAGATTGTTAATGGTATATTGTCTTCAAGTTAAACTCATATACGTTGAACTATTACCAATGAAATCTGGAATGACGCGCCCATCAGAAAATCTGCCAGAAGGGTACTTGAAGAAGTTTTCCCCATATGGTGCATAATTTGCCTGATAACTGGTACTGGTGTTGATGTAATTGTTGTTTCCAACATCAAATAGTGAATCTCCAAATACAAACAAAGCATTGTGTTGTCTTGGAAGGCATACTTTGGCATAGCAGCTATTTGGAATAAGTATGATATTGGTTGCATAGAAAAGTAAGAAACAGAAATGATTTCTCAGGCTTGTCATCTCAGTTTTACTTCGCTTAATGGCATGGATTTCGAAATCCAATCTATGTGTATGGTGTTAACTAGTTAATGTGATTTATCTACTATTTTTCTGAATTCAAACTTGAGACGTGGGCACCATGACATAGCTGCAGAAATCTTAACGATGAAGCATTTTAAATTATCATCTGACAAGTGATATTATACTAGTTTATTGATTGGTCAAATTTTTTATTAATTTTATCTATAAATATTTGGTAGAGAGTTTATTGACAAGTTTTACTTTTCTTGTTTCCTAAGTTGCTATTTTGAATTGTTCTTAGTGCCAATGACTCTGCCTTCACAGAGGACAAACTTTTTCGGATCAGACTTCCAAAATAGAAAAACAGAGATTTATTGGAAACTTCTGATAAATACAAGGCTTCACTGTCTGAGATAATAACATGTACAGTTACAAATTCAATGAACGGGTTGACCTTTTGAGATTCAACCTACGGGCATGTGACAAAAAATAATTTCTCAATGTTATATATATGAAGTTAATATTGAAGTTAATATAATTTATATATTACTTTTCTGAGCTCAAACTTGAAACTCGGGAACCAAGTCGTAGCTGCAGAAATCTTAATGATGAAGCATTTGAAAATTACATGTCTGAGCAGTGATATAATTGCAAGTTCATTGCCTGATTATCTTTGAATGCTTCATATGCTTGTCGATACATTGAATACTTCACATACTTATTGGCAAGAATTATTATTTTTTCAATTAATTTTGCATATAAATATTTGGCAAAGAATTTAGGAAAATCATAACTATTTATTCTTATAGTTTTATTATATTTTATTATTAGTTCTTGTATTTTTTTCAATGTTCCAAGTCTCTCTAGTTTTTTCTATCTACAATGTTAGTTCCCCTATTTTTAAATATATCTAGAGAGACAATGATATGACGTTGATAACAATATTAAATCATCTAATGTTTAACTAACATCATTAATGAGGTTGCTAACATGTTTAAAATATAATGACTTGGCAATTTGAATTAGTATAAGGTGAAAAAAGCGATGATTGCTTTTTGACAAACATTGTTTTGGTAACAGCACTTGTCAACATTGCAAGTGATTTATCGTAATTGTGAGTCAAGCTTTTTACTCTATGCATCAAATGCTCTCATTTAATATCGTTAGCGCTGCATCATTGTCCCTCTAAGTATATTTAAAAAATAAAAAGACTAACATTACAAATGAAAAAACTATAAGAATCTAGAATATTAAAAAAAATATAGGGACAAATAACAAAACATGATAATAGAGACTAATAATTATATTATCCAAGAATTTATTATTCTCAAGTCATTTAGAAAGTCAATTTAACTTACGTTTCAAAGTCATCTTCATTTATTGAATGTGCAACTTCAATTAAAAAAATACTCAAGTAATCCAAACCTGGAAATATCCTTTTATTCAAACTAAGGAATTGAATATATTTCTAGTCAATGAGAGATGGCAGGTTTTAGCAACTTCTTTGATAGAAGGAAACATGTCGTATCATATTAGTTAGGCATATTATATTGTCCCGAGTGCAAAACATTATTCTTAGCCTCAGTGCAGAAGAAATTATTGCTCTTATTCCCAAAAGATAAAACCTGCCTAACTAATATAATATGCTCTTATTCCCAGAAGAAATTTAGTCCTCCAAATTGTAATCTTCTCAAGTTAGTTTTTGCGTGATTTTTTTTTTTTCCATTTGTTTTTGCCTGCTTGAGGAATAAAAGATTAGATCGAGAAATTGATACCTATGAATTTGATTAATAAAGGGACAAAAATTATCGGGAAAAAGATTGTTGAGAAATTAAATTAAGAGGATTATACTATAGCCACCTCACAGAAATGGAAGCTGAGTGGTTTTATTAATTTTGCTCTGTGAGAAAAATTAAAAAAGAAAAGAAAAAAAAAAGTTAGAAACGTTGAAAGAGATCCCTCAAAGTGTAAGGCATGGCTGTATTGGATTTGAAGGTATGATCACCCCAGAGTTGAGCAGCAGACTGCTTGTAAGCAAATTCTGTCAAATGGTAAGAGTCCCAAAACAAGTGGCGATTGGGTTCCTCACACAATTCAAATTGCTTCTTTCCTCTTCTTCCTCCACAACTTGCCTCTCCTCTATATGGACCCGATCCACAGCATGCTGTTTTTCCTTCCTTCAATCCTTCATTATCCACACAACTAGTTATGGTTAATTTCCATATTCATTTCTCAATCAAAAGAAGGCGCTAATACCATGTGTTGGGTTTGAGGAGCATCTTGAAGGAAGGAGAGTCCAACTGCCCCCACAACAATGAGAAGAAGCATGTAAGTGGGTTGGGCATCATATGTTACCTTTAGGTTTTATGTTAAAATGTAATATTGAAGTTTTTGATTAAAATGTGATATCAATCTCACTTATATATTTCCTCATGTCATTGTTGGGCCTGGCTGGACTATTCCCTTGTTGGGATGTTCCTTGAACCCAACACCATATTCAATCAAAACTCATTACTGAAATAATTAATTTGACCTAAATTTTAGATAGGTGGCTTAAATATGACCAACGTGAAAACAGACATAGATATGGGAAGGTGTCATCCCTCCTAATAAGAAAGATGCATATAAGTGGGTTAGGTATCATATATTAATCCAAAGCTTTAAATCTTCAGTTAAGATGTGACATTCAACTCACTTATATGCACCATCTTATTGCTATTAGGCCCAACTACACTCTACCCTTTTGGGATATCTCCTGAGCCCAACACCATCCGCGATTAGAAGTGAACTCATTAGTGAAATCATCAATTTGACCTTGAGATAGACAGGTGGGTTGCGCATGACTAAAGTGCAAAGAGAAGTTTAGATAAAAAAAAGACAATGTCACTTCTAATAATATGGGTCCCAGAAAAGAAGGCTCATGTTTTTATGTGGATCTCTTTTTAAAGTGAAGTTTCAAGGAATTTAGAAGTGCGTTTAGTTTTTAATTTAAAAAAGTTCGTTTAATAAAAATTAATTATTATAATAAAATTTAATATTTAGATATATTTTTTTAAAAATAATTTAATAAATTAAAAATTATTTAGATGATATATAATGAAAAATAATTTTAAATATGTAATTACTAAACAGAACAGTTTTTACGATACGTGATTTTTGTGATGTTAAAATTGATTTATTAAAATAACATAAATAATACAAAATTTGACATGGTGAGTCACATATATGATAAAAAAGTGTGTAAATAACATCAAATTTTATATGTTGAATAATGTATAATTAAAAAAATGTATACATAATTTTGAAATGTTGGAAAATATATGTATATAATGAGGAAGTTTTTAATAATAAAAAATTTGATATTTTTACAATATAAAAATGTATAAATAATAAAAAATTTAATATGTTGGGAAAAATATTTATAAATACTTTCATTTGCATTTTTAAAAAAAATATCTACAAGGGTGAGAAAAGAGGTGGTTAAAAAATTTTAGCTTCCACATTTGAAATTCAAAAAACAACATATATTAGTTATTTTTTTTTGGAAAAATACTTTTGGTGCTCGTATAAATGAACTTTTGGAATGTAAATTTAGAAATAAATGAAATGCTACTCAAATGGGTGAGCAAGTGTGAGTGTGAGTGTGGTGAAATGAAAGAGTTTACCGAATTTGGAGGGATGATGGATCCTGTGGGTGAGATCAGTGTGGAAATCATAGAGAGAATATTGGAAGCCGCGGAGCTGTTGGCTCAACTGTGAGAGAGCAAGAGAGAGAGCTCGATTGTGTAAAATGGCGAGCCGTGAGAGTTGATGAAAGCATTCACTCGCATTCGCAGCAGCGTTCGAGTTCAGCATCAGCAGTCTGGTTCCCGGAAGACATCCCAAGGGCAAGCAGTTTATGACTCCGAACTTCCTTCCTCCTCTCCGGTATATGTCCTCGACGACGGAGGTGAAGTTTCCGATGACCATGGAAACGTAGTGGGAAGGAGAGAAAGAGTTGAGGAAGTCAGGAGAAGTGAGGAAGGGGCTGAGGTAATCATTATTGCCAATGCTGAACAAGTAAACCGCCCTTGACATCACTTGTTTGCCTTCCCTTCTTCCTAATTCCTTCCTCAGCCTTCTCTCCACTTTCTCGAAGTACTTCGCCTGCGTCCTCAGGGATATGACCTTCATGTACGTTCAACATCACAATTAACATTCATTAATCATGTGGGGACACCATGATTGCAGCAGCGTTAATTGACATTTCATCGCATGCACCTACCTCTCACTCTCACTCTCACTCTCCGTGCACTTCAACTTTATCCAATTATCCATTCCTGGCCCCTACCATACATGTACTCCCTATTTGGCACTCCAGAATTAATTAATATGTATAGATTAATATTTTATATTTAAATCTATTAATTATATCTTGAACATTTTAATGTAAATAAAATTCTAATTGTTTTTAAAAAATTTCTTGTTTGACTCTAAATATTGTAATATTCCAAGAGATCCAATTATTGGTCAACTTTTTTTGCCAGAACTATTTGTCAATTGCGGTTCATTGTGGTATAAGAATCAAATTCAGCGGAACCACTCGGTAGCCATGAGACCTCCTTGAAGCTATCTCTGGTGGCAAAAGTGGAGTAGAGTGTTGGCAGAAGTCAAAGATATTTAATACAAGGACACGCACAAATCGAGAAAGAATCCTTATCCAGCTTTAAATTCTCTTACATCACCAAAAACTAGAGTGTCTTTATTTAAAAATATAAAATATTTTTAATTAAATTTTATTTTTTAATAAAATAATTATTTATTTTTTAATTAACTTTATTTATTTATATTTATTTTTATTAAATACTTTATAATAAATATAAAATTATTATTAATAAATATATTTTTTAAAAAATAATGATTATATTTTAAAAGGTTAAAAATACTTTATATTTTTAAACATTTAATTCTTCAAAAATATCTTACATTTTTAAACGAAGAAGTATGTTATTTTAAAGATATTAATACATTAAAAATCATTTGAAATTATTTTGAATGATTTGAAAAGAAGGACAAAAATACTAAATTATATCTTATAATTTAAATTTTTAATTTTTGACTTATTTAAAATAATTTTAATATTCATGATATTCAGCATAACATCTTTAAATTGAAGTCTTAGATTATAATTTTATTATAAAAGTTACTTGCAATTTATCCATAAAAAAACTAAATAATTGAATATCTTATGATAATGCAAAGTGATATAGTTAAAGACAAGGGAAAAAAAATATATATATATTTCATATAAAAAAATTAATTATTATGAGATCGTTAATATCTGAGATAAGATAATTTATAAACTTAATTTTTTTGTGTCAAATTTCAACATAATTCTTTCAAAAAAATATTCCTTACACAAAAATGTAAAATATAAAAGTTATAGCTGGTCATATATAGTCATATATATATAAATTGAGGTTCAAATTCAATGTAACAAGCAAGAGGCTAGCTATACTGGCAGCCTATCCATACCTGCTTTTCCCATGTTCACAGTTACTTTTCTTAAAGTGAGCTATTTAACGTTTTTCATATTCTTTTGGGCGTGAAGCATTTATCCCTTTTCACACAACCTCAATTCATCTTCGTCATTTGATCTACCTTCAATTGACTTTCTTTTAAGTTTCTTTTTTGCTTAATTATTTTTGTATACCTTATTTAAATTTTAACAAAAATATTCAGATAAATTAAGCATAGAGCAAGAGGCAAGAGTTATCTCTGACCTTAAATATTTAAAGAGAATTACATTCAAAGAGCACTCAAAAAAAATTATTTACAGGTAACAATTAATACATAATGGATTGTTGTTAAAATAAAACTTTGACTTATTTTTTCTTGACTATAATTTATTGTTACTTCTTATTTGTGAATAATTTACTTAAATAATTCTTAGATATGAGTCTTCCAATATTTACCATAGATGTTGCATATATTAAGGTGATAACTTCACATGTTATTACAACATATTATTTATAAATATCAATATTAATATTGATATCATCAGTATCAAGTAATTAATGACGGTATGAGCATATCAATTTTAACGAAAATCTTTTTAAAATGAATTAATAGTGCTTAGGGAAAAGATATCCATGCTTTTTGTGTATAAATTTTACCGAATATTTTTAATTATGATATACTTTAATATCAAAAGTATGAAACTAAATGAGTTATTACATATGTCTTAAATATTAGTCCTAAGATTTAAAAAAAGAAAAAGATGAAAAGGACATAGTTTATTCATATTCCCAGGCTCTTTATAACCGTTCTTTCACTTTATATTGCACATTCTCTCTTACTATACTGCAAATAGTATGATTTAAGGTCCAGTAGTTTTATCAGGTCAAAAGAAAAAGGCTTCGTAGTTTTATGGCGGAAAAAAGTTTAGCAGTGTTAACTAGAAAGAACATGATCAAATTAAGGTAAAATGTAACCGATGTTGCCTATAATTTTAACATATTTTGGTATTAGTTTCTGTTTTTTCCCAATATTCTTAGTTCCTCAAATTTCATCCATATAAACCAGTATTAGTATCTATATATTTAAATATAACTAAAAAAATTTAACGGTAGATACCATATATACATAAACACTATTACTTCTCATGCTAACTTGTTAAAACAATACTGAGTTGTATAAAAAATAAGTAAAAGACAAAAAGAGATAAGCATGGTATTAAATTAGAATGCTCAAAAGCATGATGGTTAAAGCTTAGAATGAAGAAAATGTGACAACTAGGACAAGCAAAAAGATGAATAATCATTTTGTTCGTATAATGTTTAACTCATCATAATATTACCATCCAAGCAGAAAATTAACATTGTCATGCACACGTTTAACTCTGTACGACAAGGACTAACATCACATATTAATGAAACTTGAATAATTAAAAGCAACCAAAAAAAAAATGAACATAGAACTAAAACCAAAACATGTTAAATATTTTTTCTTATATTAATTTTTTTTGAAAAAATTGAATGAAAGGAATTTACTTACCGAACCTTGAAAGGTTTGAACAAGAGCACCAGCACCAGCAGAAGCAAAATTGACTCCATTGTAGTAGTCCCTGTTCCCAGGTTGCAGAAACGGCGCAATCAATGGCAGATTCGCATATTCAGCTTCATCCACAACACCCACCAACAAAATTAGACCTTATTTAAACCAAATCCCACAATTCCGTACCAATCCCACAATCAAATCAATTCCTAGTCCGCTGAAAGCAGAGCAAGACACATCAAGATCTGCAAACTGATGATGTTACCTATGAAATCCGATATGAGGCGGCCGTCAGAGAACCTGCCGGTGGGGAAGTTGAAGTAGGTCTCGCCGTAAGGCCAGAAATTGGCCTGGTCCAGAGTTGTCGTGTTGATATAATTGTTGTTTCCTGCGTCCAGCAGGGAATCTCCGAAGATGAAGAAGGCGGTTCTGTGATGACTCTGCTTGCTTCCATGGCTTCCAGATGCAAACAGACCAGGCAGGAAGAACAGGACGAAGAAGACGACACGAGCTTCTAGCTTCTTCATGATGAGATTCTTGTTACGATTTATCTCAAAGCTCCATCTTTAGCTCGACCCTTTTATAAATAGAAATAATAGGAGTACTGAGTTAAATAACCCTGTTTCTGTGTGAGAGTTCAGTGAGAATAGTCAACGCCAACCGAGGACAGAGACTTTGAGTGTTTTTAAAAAATGAGTGACGATGGTTTAATGATACTATAATATAACATAAGGAACACTTCAATTATTCTCATCAACTGGATACATTTACTTGTACAACACACCAAAATTTAAGCGAATTTCATATTTTATGAACAGTTTACCTTGCAATTTTTTATTATATATTAATAATGATTTATAAAAAAATAATTTGACAGACATATTAATCCTTATTAATTGTAAAATTACATATTCTATTTTATTTATAATATTGGTAAGATAAGAGGAGGCACAGGACCTCTTTGGAAGGAATGAATGAAGGAGTCTGACCTACACCGCCAAGAAAAGATTCTTCTCAATTATTTACCATTATGTCAATTTGAGGTTGATTAATATTATACTTTTTATTAACAAAATAAGTAAATCAATTTTGTTTAAAAAAGAGAAACCAATTACTTGGTGCTAATTGTAAATATGATTCTCATGCAATATTTTATTGGATAGTGTAATAATATGAAAAAGTATAAAACTTACACTTAGCTCTCAACTTTCTTAGTGTTTTTGACCAATTGAAATTAAGGCCCTTTTAAAAAATAATGTAAATTCTGAACAGAACAAAAAAAGAAAAGAATATTAAGTTGGAAACGTTTATTTCTACAGGCATGTGTTTGGTGCTTTGGTTAAGCAAAACAGAGAAAACAGTATATTTTGACGAGTTTGATTTATTAAAAAAAAGAATATGTAGAGTTAAAAAAATTAATTAATTTTATTCGCCTTTTTATCTTATATTTTTCTTAAAAATTTTAGAATCTCATTTGTTCATTTTTAAATCAAATTTATTAAAACCTTCCCTCCAACCAAACAGGTAAAGTTACGAAGATTATTAAATTGATTAGGTCTTGATTGCGAGGATTTGTGATTTTTTTTTTTTTGTTTTCTTTGTTTTGTGAAAAGGAATTAAACAAATCATGTGGAGAAAGGCACTTGCATCTGAATTTGTTGAATTGAAGCGAAGCCTATCACGTCACGTCATTTTCGCTTACGAATGGGGTTGAGTAAAACGTGTCGCCATTTCGTTGGACTGTAACTCTTCTTTGTTCCCATCCATCATCTTCCCTCCTTTTTTTTTTTGAAATAAATTAGTTTAAAAATAATAATTCTTCATTCTTCAGCATGTGATAGCCACCTAATCGAATTTATCTACTTCACCGCATTATTCTCATCTTTTCAAAATAATATATAATTTTACCACAAAATTTAACCCAAAAAAGATTTGGATTTTGGATATAACTTTGTAATTAATAATAATAATGAAAAATGCAACTCACCCGAAAAATGGTTGGACGAGAAAACCAAATTAGATTGTACTAAGAAATAGAGGAAGAAGGAAATTGTTGAAGTTTTTAACCTTTTTTTGCCTCCACGGAACCAAAAGCATCGTCGTTCTTATTTTCCTAACTCCCATGATTCATTTTTGTTTCCTTTTTTTCTGGCCGACAACTTTCTTCTGTATTAGAAGTGATTTTTCCCCCCCAAAAAAAAAGTCCATTTTATTGCTGATAAAAAAAAATTACACACACAAATCAGAAAAGTCAAAAAAGAAGGAAAGCAATAAATTCCTGAGTACAAACTTTCTTCCGTATTCGAAGTGATTGAAAGCATGTATTTTCTGGGCAAAAATAATTAATGTTTAATCTATTTAAATTTGAATTAAATCTTTTATTTATACATATAAAAATTTATGAATTTTAATTTGATTAAAATTCATGCTTTATTATAATTTTTTTAAAATTTCAATTCTCATTATATATCGTTATTTAAAATTTCAACTATATAACCTTCTCATTTTCTCTACTTTTCACTATCAATCCGTCTTTTACTCTTAACTCTCATCTCATCTTTTGTTCTTGCCTCTCATCAATTCAATTGAAGAATAGAAACAAACTTGTCGCTCTCATTTCATCTCAACTTTCTTTCGAATCTCTCTTGTATTTAAAAAATTTTATATTATTTAAATTCATCAATTCAAACGTTGATAGGCTAGCTGGTAGGCGAAATTTTATCTGGCAATTCAATTGGATCAAACCAATCTAAAATGGATTAAGTTGGATATTAATGACCCTATTAATCCTGTTACTGAAGCAAATGTCAAAAGGGACTAATTTGCCATGAAAACGGTAATTAAATTAGAGGAGCCCATAGTTGTAATGATTGACGGGTGTATCAAACCTTAATTTAGATGTTAAGATTTTTTATATTACATCACTTGAATGTGAAAAATCTTTTAAATATGTTTAGATTAAATATGAAACGTTGTTCGAACATACTATTTTTCAAACATAATATTATTTTAATGTTTGATATTACAACTTGGTGAAAAACTACTAACAGTACTCATAAATATGTATATAACGAATATTAAAACATTGATATCAGCTGTTAATTAACAAAGTTTTTAATTATAATAACTTTGACTTGATTTTATAACGCAGCCAAAAGGTGTCGAAAAGAGTTGCAGTCTCGAGGGCTTTTTAGATATTCAAAACTATTTAATTGAGGCTGGAGATGGGGTGCGTTGTTCACCTTGGAAAATCCAACCACAACAGCAGAAAGTTTGAAACATATTTGTTCTTATTAATTATTTGCATTACATTCAACTTTTCATTTGCTTTTTTAAATTAATAATAATAATAATAATAATCAGTAATAGCAGCAATAACAGTGATACTAATAAGATTTTTTTCTTTTTGCATTTCATCACCCAGTATCATGAAAAATTAACCACCACCCATCTAGATTAATTTTAATATTTGTTATGTGGGATCATTGTTATCCATGATAGAGTTATAAATATATCTCAACTTGAACTCAATACTTTAGGATAAGATGATTCAATTTCATCAACTAATTTAAACAAAATGCCTCTTGATATAGTAATAAGAAGATTATGATCTTGACTTATTTGGTCTAATTCTAAAACTTATTACTCCCTTCATTAAAACATGTAAAACATTTTTAACCGAATCTCACTCCCAATAAAATAGTTATCTACTTTCAAACTAACATTATCTCTTCATATTTATCCTTATTAAATATCTTATAACAAATATAAAGTCACTATCAATAGGGACACTTTTGAAAGAAAAAAAAAAGGCAATGATTATATATCAAAAAATTAAAATTACCTTGTAATTTTTAACATTCAACTCATCAAAAAATGTCTTACATTTTTAAATAGAGAGAGTACTTTATCACCTAATTGGTCTGCCATTAGATTAACTAATAAGGAAGTGACTTATATAAGTGTTGGTGTGCTTATTAGCACCCCACAGGTCTATGTCTCTACTAGAGTTTCAACCCTTCCCTATTTCATGCAAGGCTCTTTCTCCTCTTTGCTTGGGAGTTTTTTGGCACAGCCTTGTAGTTTGGCCTTTGGACCTCTCTTCTTGGCTTTTTGCTAGGTGGGTGTGATTCATTGAGTAGTTGGGTTAAAGCAGGGAAGTCGATGGAAGCAATTTGCAGCAATGATGGGTTGGGGGTTTTGGTGGTTGGCAACAGTAAGACAAACGCAATTTGCCAAAAGTGAGAAGAGCAATTGATTCAAGCTAGTTTTAGCAAGATGAGATTTTGGGTTGGTGATTTTTACAATCTAGGGATGGTAAAGGATCTGACATGGGTGGATTTATCAATGAAGAGGGAAAAATTGAAGTTGGGAATTCTTGAATCCACAATAAGATTAATGGGGATTAATGATGAATTGAAAGCATTGTGGCTAATTTGTGTAGGAATTATATGGATGATGGAGGATTCTGGCTCCTTATTGTTTTCAAAACAAATGGTTGGGAACTATAGAGGCATTATATTGTGACTATAGAGATAAGTAATTTTGAATAGCCAAGGACCTAACATTGGAAGGACTATGACCTCCCTCTCTGGTATATTCTTTCCAACCCTGTTTTTTTAATTTGGTGATTTTATCTAGTTTTCTATCATAAACTTTGAGATTGATCAAGTCCACCTCTTGGTTGAGATGTCTTTAGATTTATTTGTGGGGAGTACTTTTTTGCTATGCGATCTTGTTTTTGCTTGTTCCTTTAGGCTTAAATGCTAGTAGAATCAATGATGATATGCCATGGGTGCCTCCTTGGTATGAATATTTTGATGTTTTTTATTGTGGCTAAGCTTAGTAGGATTATGGAGGACTTGTTCTCGTCTCTTATGTAAGATGATATGGTGTATGTGTATGGAGCTCTTTTAATCCTAATATTGTTGCTTTTTTTCCCTTTTGGTTGAGCTTGTCAGCTGTAAAGTATTCTGTCTTATATGAGATTATTCAACCTTTATGGATTTTATTTTAAATCTTGATAAACCATTAAACATGTGTTGTTTTTCATAGATCTCAAGGTATCTTTGCCAAACTATACTTTGGGTTGATCAAGTTGTGGCTCGAAAGAAGTGCTCGTCGAACATGGGCATCCAAGTCTCTATTCTTCTCTTAAATAAGGTCCTTGTTTTATTTAGGATTTAGCATCAGGATTTCCCTTACTTGCACCTTGCTTTTTCTTGTATCATTTTAACTATTCCTTTCCTTTTGTTTCTTTTATGTTTACTGTTGTATCAAACTGGCTCCTCCTTTGATGGTTAATGTTTATCTTTTGGTTTATGGCAAAAAAAAAAAAAAGATTTGACTTATTTCTCATGGGACATAGTTTTGAATTCTTACTAATATGAAAATGTGTGTGTGTGTAAATTGGATATGGTTAGTGTTCATCTACAGCTGAATGAACAGTGATTTCATATATATATATATATATATATATTACATACCTCTTGTAAACTAAAATCTAATGTGGGTTGTCCAACAAAAAAAATCATGTAGGACCCATAGAAAATAAGTGTGGGGCCCCAAATAAAAAATATTTGTGAATATAGAA